GCAATGTTAAAAAAAAATTTGCTAATAATCACATACCAAAAATTGCTAATAATCTCACACCAAAATTTTTGAGCTACTAGACCGACTTTTGAAATAAATAAAAAATTGTTTCATTTAGGTCAGAGTTGCCGATTTTTAGAACAGTGTTTGAAAGAGATACTGGTTTTCTGTGATCTTTACCAGGATAGATTGACTGTGAGCCCTGAGCTTTATCCAAGTTTAAGCCTTGCAGTTCCGAGGATTTTGAGAGACGATGGAATCCGTGGATTCTACGCTGGTTTACGACCAACACTTGTCGGGATGCTTCCTTATAGCACATGTTATTACTTCATGTATGACAAAATGAAGACCACATACTGCAAATCCAAGAACAAGAAAGCTTTAAACCGTCCTGAGATGCTTGTTCTTGGTGCTCTAGCCGGTACGTAAATAAGATTTTGTTTCACTGTATTTACAGACTCAGCTCATGTATGGGGTTGAGAATGGTTGTCAGGTCTAACGGCAAGCACCATTAGTTTCCCACTGGAAGTGGCGCGGAAGCGGTTGATGGTGGGAGCTCTGAAGGGGGAATGCCCACCGAACATGGCTGCGGCAATAGCAGAAGTAGTAAAGGAAAGAGGAGTGATGGGACTCTACAGAGGATGGGGAGCAAGTTGTTTGAAAGTCATGCCATCTTCAGGCATCACTTGGGTCTTCTATGAAGCCTGGAAAGATATTTTACTTGCCACCAACACCAAACCACTAATATAATGACGAAATTAGTATTTTTAGATTACTTGAAGCTATCATCACATTTTCAAAGCTATCATGGGGATTAGCTTTGCCCCATGAGATGTTTTTTTTGGCACTTGGGAGTGTTTTGACTCCCATGAGATGTAAGAAACTGAGTTTTTTTCGTAATCTAAACAATCCTCTATGTTCAGTCTAATGAAAGAGCAAATAATTTTGAACTATAAATTATGTTCACATAACATCAATGTTTTCTAGGTGGTGGTTAAAGGATTAGTCTTTTAGATGGATGTTCAAACTGATTTTTTGAACACTTAGATCAATTTTCTTTTGAAAAATGGTTTGAAAAAAAATCGTTTCGTTCAAAAGTTCACTAAGTCGAATGCATAATATACACCAATGTTAAAAGGTTTGCTAGAGACTCATATAGAAAAATTTTAAGACTAGACGAATTATAAAAATCCTCTTATTTGCTAATTAATTTTTCCGTATCCGAGCCATCACGTTGAAAGATAGAACGGTTAATATTATTTTTATTTTTAATAATAAAATATATTAATTACTAAAAAATTAAAAAATAAATTTAATGTTATTGATTAGATAAGTGATCAAATTAATAATAATAAGAATTATCTAAAATTTAAAAGTCTATTTTAAAACAAAAAAAAACTAATTTTATTTTATTTGATTAGATAAGTGATTAAAATTATTAATAATAAAAATCTTCCAAAATCTAAAAATATATTTGAAAATTCAAAAATAATTCCTATATATATATATTGTATCATTATCTGAAAAATGTATGTTATTAAAAATGTAAAATTTAAAAACATAATTTATATAACTAAATATTAATCTTGTAAAATTCTTAATTTTATAGAATTGAAAAACTAATTTTAAGTGATTTTAAAGATTTAATTATTAATAATGAATGCAATATACAATTAAATTTTCAAAAGAATTTATGTATGTAAGAATTTTCAAATGAAAATATTAATAATAATTTATTATTATAGTCTTAATTAATATTAAATATATTAATATATAATTATAAAATGTGTAGGTTTTAAACTGGAATTATAAAAATACTAAAATATATCTATTATAGTTTAATTAATAGTATTAAAATTGAAAAAAAAATCAATAATTTTAAAATTTTAACACTATAAATTTATAAGTAAATTTTTATATTTATTATAATATTATGATATTTGGTATTTTTATAATTATACAAAAGGTAAATATTGTTAATTTATATTTTAATCGCTACTGCATTTCGTAGTTAACCAGTCATAAATATCATGCAAACGCACTAATTTGTAATCGCGGTACCAGTTGTACAAATCTCTTAAAACCACAAGAAATCGCAACCATCCGCAACCGCAACCCTTGCGTTTGAACCAATCAGACCCTTAATCATTACAAAATGGTCGGACTTGTACTTCATGAAAAAATGTATGGTTAAATTTCTAAAATAGATATTTTTTTATTATATATAAAAACTAGGGTTAGCCCGGGCTACGCCCGGGATTTAAACATAACTGTAATAATATTATAAATAGATATATTATATTATAGTTGATGATTAATATATAATTACAATGTCAGCTTAGAATTGTTTTTTATTTATTCATTATGTTGTCCAACAAATTTGGAATGATAGAAACTCACTGTTTACTGTATTTCCAATATTAGAATTTAATGTAGGGTAAGTAATTTGAATTAAAATTAATTGAATTTTGTTTATGTCTTACATACTTTTATCTTATTTATTTAGGTTTTCATATAAAACAATTATTAATATTTAGAACTCTTTTTAAATTTAGTTATGTATTTTGAATGACTGGGTTTTTATTTATGTGGCATCCGTCTTTGAAACGTAGTAATCGGCTCTTTACATTTTCTATTTTAAACGATAATAAACTATTCTGGCTAACTAAATTTACGGCTATACTTTTCTTTTGATAGGTACCAAGGTTATTTTATTAGGATGACCAAAGGAACCAAATATTTTTAGCCAAATTGTTGCACAGAAAAGGTTAAAAGGATTGTTTTGATCAACTTGCTACATAATTAATGAAAATAAAATTGCTAAACATCGTCTTTGATTGAAACCGATTGTTCGAACGGAATTTTTAAATAAACCAAACCATCTATATAACCAAAACAACAATTACACTGTTGGTCTCTGAACACATTGCAAATAAAATAAGACGCATACCAAATTAAACAAAAGAACAAAGTTCTTTCTGTATTGTTTAGTGAAAGCATCATTCACGTAGGATTTGTAAGACTATTCTGAGCATATATCTTACTACACTTTTTTAATATGACATCTCTGTGCTTGCTGAAGATGGCAAAGAAGCAAGAATGAGACCGAAGCATCGAATACTCTTGGCTTTGATCAAGCTGCTGAGACGATGATTAAAAAGTTGAAGCAACAGAGAGATGTCTTATTAAGAACAACTGTTCTTCCAAAATTTCAGAAAACCGGCAATATCAGTCATAAGCATGTAGAATACGTAAAGAAAAGAACACATAGCATTATTGATGTATATGTAAGAAGCAACAGAGAGATGTCTTATTAATAAAAATTTATTAATTGGGATTTCAAGGGATCATAGAATACCTTCGGCTGATGTCAAACTTCCTCGTTCTTATCCCATGTCAATAACACATCATTATCATCCTCATCGTCACTGTCTTCTTCTCCCTCAGATAACATCACACCAGCTTCATATACTCTCTCTTGAACAAATCCTCTAACCAAATAATTATTTCTTCAGCAGGAATATCTCCTGCTCTAATATACAAATCCGAGCTTTACGCATGACAAACACAAAAAGACCAGAAAAGAATCAGACAACGCATTGATACCTAAGAACCTGTCAAATCCATTGTTTTGGAGCTCACACTTTGAACAACCTTAAACTCAAGTGATGGAAACCCCTGGAAAACAAAGATAATCCAGTAAACGAAGACATTGGAAGTAGTATACCAAAAAAAAAACAATGAAACAAAAGATATAAGAAAACGTATGATTAACTTTTCTCGCCATGGCTGTGGACGTTTTGTGATCTGTCTTCCAAAATTCCAAAACGATGCTTGAAACATATAACGATGAAGAAAGGATTAAACTTGGATGGAATCTGAAACCAAAAAATACACAGATCTATAAGACGGAATCCTTACATTAACATCAACCAGAAGCAAGTCAACCCACATGAGCTCACCGCCGCGCTTCACCTTCCTCGCCTCCCAGAAACGGAGGAACACCGGCTGGACTTAAAATCAAAGAAAAAAAACTTTAGGATTAGCCATTTCAGAAGATTGTGTGGTGTAAGAGCTATGAGAATGATTTTTACAGGAGTAAAGCCAACCTATTTATACATGGGATCTACATCGTTCTGAGAAAATGTCGACATATCGAAGTGGAGATTGTGGGAGGGGATTAAATGAAAATGATCAATGCTTTTGACGTCAGGAAAATCAATCGACGCCATTGAAGCTTCTCAAGGTTGGCGGTCGACAGCAACGAAGATAGAGGACATAAGCCCTAATCTTTCTGAGTAAATTAGGGTGTGCGGAGGCGGGCCGGACTATGAAAATTGACACGGGCCATGAGAAAATCAAAACCCAAAACAAATGATAAAACAAACGTACCGTTTTGGAGATGGATAGGTGTCAGGACAACAGCTTCCCTATTAGTGACATGGCACTTGCTAGAGGGAATGAACATTTCTTTATATATATAGATATGGATAATCGAAACTCAATTTAGATCTGAACCCGAAAATTAAACGAGTTCAACCCTGGTTTCGCATGTGTTACCGAATCCAAACCGAAACCTAATCCAAACTTTTATATTACCCGAATAAGACTGATGTTCATAAACCCGAAAACTTGAAACCCGATTATAACCAAATCGATACCGAATGCTCACCCGACTGCCATGCCTACTATAATGTTCATTTATAGTTCTTAGGATTTTGGTTAAATATGAACCATGATGAAAAAAATGTCTTGTAATGACACATCAAAGACGGTCCAAAAACAATGAAAGTGATAGATGAGGAATAAGAATTGTCCAAAGCTAACAACAGATAAATGTTGGTAGTTCGACTAAGAAAGCACAATATAAAAACCTTAAAAATCACATGATCCATCAAGTTTTTGACGAAACTAATATTACATTGTGTGCTTTCGAATTTATAAAAACTACGACCAGATTCTCATGGTTTTTGTTAAAAGAAGATTAACTGTCATTGGACTTAAAACCTTAATGGATAGCCAAGGAGGCATATGGAACACAATCACAATCACTTCATTGATATGTCTACAAAAAGAAGGGAGCAGTTGATACAGGTCTTGAAATCATTGTGTGTTTCATCATTTATTATTATTATTATTATCAACAAGGGAAAAGAACTGGAGATGGGTGTCTCTGAAGCTTCCCAGCAGAAAAATTAAGTTTTTTCATCTTCTCTTCACACCATAGAAGCTGCTCTTTACTGACTTTCCCCATCCTCAGTACCCTTGATGCGAGTTTGATGTCAATGGCTGCAAACAAGAGCTGAACACCTTCCCATGTTTGTGGCCAAGACTTCTTTCTCAACCCTTTTGTTTTCTTTGTAAGCTCCTTCGCTTTCACCCTCTTCTGCAAAGTGTTTTTTTATTACAGAGATTCAGACACCAAAGAAACATGTACATTGCGTCTAAAAACATAATAAAATGAAATAGAACCTTTTCAATAGTTGACTGAACCAGTTGCAAAGGGGTTGTAGAATTATTGATCATATGGTTATTGTTCCCAAACATGTGAATGATGATTCCATTTGGCTTCTTCTTATCCATTTTCAAGAAAACGTTGAAAGTAAGGATCGAGCTCTCAATGATTCTGATGAGATCATCAGCTAGGACCATGAACTCTACTGTATCTTTCTCCTTATCTGACCCTGAGATATTTGAAAATGATTAACTTAAGCTTCACATAAAGTTGAGATGGTTAAGAACTCACCTTGAATCTTGGGAGCTTGAAGCAGCTTAGGCATTGCGTTTCTAGCACGAGCATAAAGCTCAGCTCTTGACCCCTGCTGAAACGGTTCATTCTCTATATACCTCTGCAACAAGACCAAGAACTGCTGAAACTGTTGCGCAGTGTGGTTGTAGCAAGTCAGTGTTTCAGGTTGGCATGAGATCAAGTGGCTAAGCTGCGTGTACTGACAGTGAAGTGCTTCCCAAGTGAGGCAGAGTTGAGCAACATAAGCTGTCTCAAGATCTTGACAAGGGTCAATCTCTGTCTGCTGCAAATGCTCTATATCTTCCTCCTCCTCAGGAACATCCATTTTCTTCAGAGAAAGACATCGAAAAGGCGATGAGAGCTTCTTAGATGCAGATCTTGGTGATGGAGTTGAAGGACTTGGAGCTATGCCAATGCCTGAGAAGAGTGAAGACAATGCACATAGTTTTATAAAGACAATGCTTAAGAGATCAAAGCAAAGAAGCTTGTTTACCATTTTCTTTGAGCTGGCGAGAGCTTAAACGATCAAAGAAGAGCATACGCTCACAATACTTTTCATAGACAGCATCAAAACCTCCCCACCATTGAAGTCCTTCAGCGACTACATCTCTCCAGACACTTGAACACTTGTCTTCTCCCTCATCTTCACCTAGATAAGACTCTTCCTCCTCTTCTTCTCCTTCTTCATCTTCTTCAGGTATCAAGACCATGAAACTGTTTCTCCTTAACTCCTTAAGCCTTCTCTTAACCTCATTGGTGATGAAGTCATCATCTTCCTCATCTTCTATCTCATCTGCTTTTCCTGAATCTGTCACACTAGCTACATTGTTCTCACTCCTTTCTTGTTCTTGCTCCTTCTCAAGGTTTGGCTTCCGTGACTTTCTGAATTTCCTCACTTTCAAGAAATCCATGTACTCAAACACTTGGAGGAGTGAGTGTCTTTGCTTAAACCTTTAGATCTACTTTGCATGAACAGCAAAAAAAAAAGATGGTAATGGTGTTTCTCTTCAGCCACAAACTGGCTTTAAACCCTTTTTTTTAGGAATCAGAGAATCAACAAAACCACAAAATGAGGAAAATGCATGAATCAAAGAGAGATCTCACAGAATCATAACCAAAGCAGAGACACAGACAAAAGATTAAACACTTGAACTACCAAAAAATAATACCACAAGATCAACAAACGGCACTAGTATGAAACTTCAGATTCAGATTCTTCTCTCTCTCTAGCTGATAACACTCTGCATTATCTGCTAAACCCCACAAACACTACACTCAAAACTACACTGAGAAAGTGTGAGAGAGAGTAGAAAGAGAACCCACCTTGCAAGAGAGAGAGAGAGAGAGAGAGAGAGACAAAAAGCTTTGTTTTATGTCTTTAGTCTATTCTATTCTATTCAAGTCTTGGGGAATAAGGGAAGAGTGAGCACAGTATAAATGTGAGAGGCTTCTAAACAGATCTCATTAAGATTTTTATAATTAACGCTTGATTTCAAATTTTAAAGAAACAAAATATTTTCTTCTTTTTTAAATCCTTCTCCTCAAAATTTTCCATTTCAGGTTCAAAAGAAATTTGAATACCCTTGCCACGAGGTTTCTGCATTGACCTTTCTTTCACACTAGATTTTATACTCGCGCTACGCGCGAGTCTGTTTTAATAATTTAGTTTAATTAAAATAACTTAAAACTAAAATATTAATTGAGTAATATAATTTTCTTATTTAAAATATAATCTTTAATTTAGTATTTATGTTTTCTTATAATTATGTTATCTTATTAGCTATTTAGTTATTTGTATTTGTAAATATAATAATT